ATATATATATATATTAAATAATATATGTGTATATGTATATATTATTTAAGATGATTAATATTAATTATTCTTATTTGGTATATCTGGATAGGGAGTATTACAGTAGTGGAATGCTCGAACATGGAATTCTGGAATTTAACCAAGACATTTAGTGATTTCGGGTTACTAGCCCGCAAGGAACAACCTAGTACGCACTGTATGGGGAGAACTCATACCACTCGTACTAAAGCCAAACTTTAACCGTCAATTAAACAATATCCCCCAAGCTTTCCAAAATCAACAATAAGCACAAAATTTATACTCAAACTATTGGTCTTAAGGTTCGCTAAGTCCTATTTGCCTGTTTAATGTCAAAAAGCTTTGGTTTTGTGTGCTTTAGTGTATATCCTATCTGTATTGTGGTATAACATATATCACTTGGGCAGCATTGACATTTATATTGCAGTGACAGTCTTTTTACATTGGTATGAGTTAATTCATCACAGCTGGTACACTTGATTCAGCTAAATTGAATGGTTTCAGTCAGGATCAGTATATAAGGAACTTGTCACAGGTGCTTTCAAGGGTACTTTTGTATTTTCCCTAATGCATTCTATGGATACTCATATGACTGGATAGCTGCATTGCACTGAATTGCTGTGGTGAGCCTACATTGTGTCTAATACAGCCTCAGCAACAGGATTTTGCTGAATGTAATTTACAGCTGGTATAAGGCTTGTTTGTACAACTTTTCAAGTATTTTCAGGAGTATGACACATGGCTATAGTCCAGGTATATATATTGTCCTCCAATGGTGTTGCAGATCTTAGTGGCTAAGCAAAGATAAATATCAATGTGTCCTCACCTGTCTGAACTGTTCTTACTGATGCATGAGGTGTCACTATTTGGTGAGATATCAAGGGCAACATTGTCTTTTCATTAAGGGAATGTCAGAATTGTTCTTATGCAATCATTGGTTGAAAGGTGACAGCATTGAATTAAGAGAGATGCAGTCAAGCATTTACACTGAGATATATATATGCTGTTATAGGTGTCTTTTAGGGTTAATGGCCTTTCATAGAGACTAAAAGCAAGCTGCATAAGAGAACTCTCGAGCTCTTTTTCATTGAACAAAGTTTTTCTGTGATTTTAATGATGATTTATGCTAGAAAAACCCACTGACTCAAGCCTTGTGTGTGATCAATGTGCTAAGATGCTGCTGCTGTCCAAATTGCTGTAGAAAGGCTTGGATTGAGTAGTGAATCTGAGTTCCAAGCTGCTGTGGTCATTTCTGAGGATTGTCACAGGTATAACTATGCTATTTACACTTGCTCAGTAGTTTGTTTTGAACTAAAACATGCTGAAATGGATTTTGAGCTCTTAGATCAGTGATAAGCCTGTTTTTCTGCATATATTGTGATTCAAGTGCAAAATGATTAAGTCTAGTTATTCTGTGGATTATCTATGTGCTAGCAAGTCTATTTTGATGAATCAAAGTTATTGAAATTGGCTGTGGTGCAAAACATTGACAGATTGTGATTGTGACCTTGCAAAACCTCTCAAACTGTGTTGAGCTATGCTTATTCCAGAACTGTGATAGTAGATTGATATATACTCATGCTATACTGAATTGCTTAAGGATGTTAACATGAGTACTGCAGTGAATTAAGATTGTGGAAGCTACTGATGAACTAATCTCGATGGAAAATTCCAATTTTACCCCTCATACTCTAGCTGCAGCAGTTTAGTGATTTTGAGGCAGTAACTTGGTATTTTGTGTTGTTCAAGCTGTTTCAATTGTAGAAGGAATTTGATTATCTTGTTTATCATTTGTAATGATATATATTGAGAGCTATGTGAGCTTTGTTGGTCCAAGCAAGGGTGCTTAGGACAAGGGGAGTGTGTGTGTGCACTGAAATCAGCTAGTGTGTGTAACAAGGTACATACAGCTAGTAGTGATCTTCATTGGCCATGGCCAAAAGCCAAGGTTTTCCCTAGTTGAAAGTTTCCTTGTAAATCCTGTTTTAAGTACTTATTGCTTGCTTGCTGAATTATCTTATTGATTCTGTTGGGAAGAGATTAACCAATTCACCCCCCCCCCCCCTTTTGGTTCATCACAAACAAATATTGCATGAAACCACCTTCCATGCGCAAGTAGAGTTGAAACCACACAAACCATGTCCTAGGGTTTCATGTCTACAATAGGATTTAAAATGTCAAATCTTCAATGTGCGATTTGCTACACATACAATGGTATACAAAATGTCGAATCTTTAATGTGCGATTCGCTATACAAAACAATGATACTATATGTAATTTAAATCAAGTTACCATCATGTAAGCCACAAGTACTAAATATACAACAATCTAGTAACAAGCTTCCAAAGTAAACATTAGTGATATTCAACAAGAGTTTATCATCACAAGAAGATAGTCTCTAGAATCAAGTAATCTAGTAAATGAAACAATTTACTTATAACAAGATAAATATGCATCACATGCTTTGAATCATTAAATCCTAAGTCAAGGATATAGAAATTACATCTAAATGCAATCCTACAATTCAACAAGCATGTATACAATATATAGAAAACCCCAAAAATAATTAAAACACTAAGGAAATAAACATACTACAACCCCTACCTCACTAGAGAATTGAATCTCTAGAATCCAAGGCAAATGAACTCAATTTGAAAAACTGTGAAAATGTGTTCTAGATATGGAAGAGAGGAAGATATGATCTTTAAGGTGGAAGGTTAAATTCCTTAGGGAAGGGGGCCAAAATCTGAAAAGTGGAAGAGGCTACAAGGTCCTTCAATGGTGGTTTAAGTGAGGAAGACAATTATCACATCTTTTCCCACTAACCAAATGGCCTTGATAGCCAAACACACACATACACACACACACACACCAACACTACCTCTCTTACATACACACACATCCACCCTCACTTGTCACAATCCTAGGGCTCCTCATAAGACTTAATCTCAAGCCTACACTTGTCACTAATCTAAGCCAACAAATGTACCAACCAAAAGTCTACAAGTGGGTGAATCTTCACCCTCCACTTGCCACCATCCAAAGCACCCTCACAAGGCTTAATCACAAGCCTACATTTGTCAACATCACAAGCTAACAAGTGTTCCAATCCAAGGCCAACAAGTGGGTGAACCTACACCCAACACTTGTCACCTAAACAAGCTTCCAAGTCTCACCAAGCAATGGATGACAAGTGGTCCCAAGGGAAAAGTGACACTTGTCACTAATTCCCAAAAATTGCAAATAGGTCCCTCTTTAAATATCCCAAGGAATATTTGCAATAAAGTCCCTAAGACGGAAACTAATTACATAAAGCACCCCGTAAAATAAGAATATTTCCGAAGAAACTATGCATCCATACCCTGTATGAAATGGAAATAACCAAGCATGCTTTTCAACAAAATTAAATCATGCATCAATAGTAAAAGTCAAAATGATACAATGCACGAGGTGTCGGAAATTAGTTTCGGACACCAAAGTCTACCTCAGGCGCAACAAAATCCTAAGGTATCCCGAAAAGAATAAATCAATTAAATAAATAATTTAATTAATTAATTAACTAGGGAAAAAGAAAAAAAAAAAAAAATGACACAGTCATTACACTCCAACAGACATGAGCATGGGCATCCACCCTTTGCCACATGTGAACTTATGCATTCTTCCACGTGTCAGTGAAATATTACACACTTGTTATCTGTCGGACCACACAAGTGTTAGAATTTTATTTCCCTTCAACGAAGCCCACGTGTCAATCTATTGTTAAACCATGAATTTGGTCCAGTTGCGTCTCTCTTATTTGTCCACGTGGATGCCAAAATGGCTGCCACTTAGGCTGTCATTTTTGTGTGTCAACAGTATGTCTCTCTTCATTAACTCTAGAAAAATGATATTTAGACAGAAGGCTTCAGTCGAATCTTTACATCCACATGATGCAAAGTGGTTGGGATCCATTTTGTCTTCTAGGTCCTACCACAAATTAAGTAGATATTGAATGCATTAGACACGCCATGCCATTAGTTTACCTATCCCATGTAAGATATTATCTCGTTATCATAAATTTTATAATTAGATGAGCTAACTTTTTAAAAAATAGTACATAATTATTGGATAGGTACACTAATGACATGCCATGGCTGGTGCACCCAATATTACATGCATCTTCTAAATGGTGGTGTAGTTGTTCGAAGTGTGGAGAGTCTCTCGCTTTATTAATTTTGTTTTAATTCTATAGTTGCTGAGTGGGTAGATTGTTTGGTCAATCAAATCTTTGTTTCCCCTTCTTTGTGGAGGCTTTTTGTGGTTCTTATGCATTGTGTGTGTGTGTGTGTGTCCCCCCTTATTGAGAACATTGGATTGCTTTTACCTATTAAATGCTTTTATTGAAGAAACTATCTCACTCCACCTGTGTCATGTTTGTGTAATTACTTAAGAGGAAGTCTCTGTTTCTTGGTTGTGTTGAGGTTTTAATTCTATGTTACATAAACCCCTAGAGAGTAACAGCCAAATGCAAGCGCAGATAATTTTTCAACAGCTCTCCCTCAACCTATCAAAAAGAAAAAAGTTCCCATTTATTCCAATCGTGCATAACTAAATTGGTCATGATTAGCTAACAAGTTGAACTCCAACTCAAACCTTGAAACTCAGACTGAACGAAATGAACGAACTTGTCATATTTATTCATTAATGCATTCCCCAAAACCTTTTTTTAAAAAAATAAAATAAATAAATAAATAAATTTAAGGAATCATCTTTATTTATAAATAAGAAAAACCTTACCATTATATGTTTTCAAGCTAAGTCGAGCTGAATTGAGCCAAGCACATCCAATACGAGCTTGAATTCATAGAAGCCGAAGCCAAGCTTGAGCTAGGCCAACAACCAAACAAATTAAGTCCGAACACTCTCAGGCTCGGCTCAACTTAGTTCATTTGCCCTAGTCTTATGTCCCATAAAAAGCTCAAGGTTACAGCTGAAACTAGTCATTATCCAGGATGGCGCTGCAGAAATGCTGCATGCATAATTGCAAAAAATACAACAATAGGTGGATGTTTCACTTCTAAAGTGGAAACTTTGAGGTGTTTTATGTACAAATGATTTTAGAGCGATCCTAATATTCTCTCACAAAGACTATAAATGAAATACATACCTCAGTGACAAAAATCAGACACATATCACTGGTAGGAGAGTGACAAATGATCCTGATTACATAAATTCAACAACAGAGCAGGACTGACAGGATCCAATGAAGTCGATAAGTAATAAACATCACCGGATACCAACCCGACCAACCAAAATCTCTCACTGGTAACCATTATGTTCTCCTTTCAATTCTTGATCTGGCTAAGATGGGTTGGATCCGCCTCAGATGGATCTGCCTCTGATGGTTCCCATACCACAAGCCATTTGTGTCTATTAATCGACTCATCAGCACAGGTGCAATCATTTGACTGTCAATACGAAAACTATAGATAAGCAGCCACAATTTGGCCTACAGTTCTTTCTGGCTGCTATCTCCTGGGGCAGTACGGGAAGCCTGATATTGAAAGCTACACTGCCTCTGCAGATCCTTGAACTTTTCTAGCAGCTCTTGGAATGTTGGGCGGCATCGTGGTTCACTGATTTTATCACCGTTGCAAATTAGCACAGTAGCAAAATCTTAGGTTAAATGATGATTGAAAATGATTGCATAACTAATAATTTTGAAGGTGATGGAGAAAAATTGATGATTGATCCGACTATTGGATGCAAATCATGTAGCAATTAATATCTACAATGAGAAATACTTCAATGACCTAACTTACACAACCCAACCCACCCTCACAAGGGAAGTGGCAGACATTTTCAATATCAAACTCAAGTATCTTTTACTATGACAGAAGAATTCACAGCCAAAATCATACTAAACAAGTGATCTGGATCCTCTAAAAATACCAACTACTTGGGCTATTTACACAAATTCAAGGCATATTTCTATTATGCAAGCATACACATGCATTGACATGCATTCATGAAGTTCTAGGAAAGCCTATCAGGCTAAATTCTGCAAGAAATGTATTGTCCAAAAATGTTGAGGAAACACATCAATGGCATGTAGGTTGGGTTTGCATCACCTTAATCACTATAGAAGCCAGATGCGTAAGCATCCAAGCCAACTCTCAAGCATTGATCCCATATCAGTAGATCAAGACATACTATGGTAGATAGCGATAATTGCTCATAATAAAATGTTGTCCTTGGTTTTGGAAAAATAATTAATTTAAATAAGAAGCTTAAAGAATATACGGACCTCTGCCAGCAGCTATCAATTATGGAAGCCCACTGTGGATCCACGTCTTTTGGGATATCTAGCCGTTGGTTCATGAACCCCACAGCTCCAATGACCTGCAGGTATCCTAAACAAATTGTTGTTCTTGTTCACACATGCAGTAAAGGTCATTACCCTACGCTGTTGTTCAACATGCAGTGCTACACAAAGTGCTATTGGTCTGGGTGTAAACTGTAAAGCAAATCCAATTGCTTTCACCAAAAAGCACACAGCCCACTTCTTGGGAATAGATCGCTTTCTTTTCTTTATCATGACAAAACATAAAGAAAAATTTAAAGAGAAAACATACCTGCATTGAGTTGAGATTTTCCCAAGGGATCTTCTCAGTGGCAAGCTCCCACAAAATCACTCCAAAGCTATACACGTCAGACCTAAATGTTTCCAGACAATAATACATTTGTAACAGCATTATTTCGGGGGAAAAAATTTTTAACAGCGTTTACAGATTCATATTTGCATATGTTTGTCAATTGAACTGAAGATATAGAACCCAAATAGACATACTTCTCATCAGCGGATTCATTACGAAGAACCTCTGGTGCCATCCATTGCGGCTACAGAATAGGAAATACACGGAAGATTATCGGAAAGATGAGGAACTTGAAATTTTATGCTACCTCAAGTTAGAAAATTAAGATGGAGATAATATATCTCAACTTAAAATAGAACAGGTCAAGAGTGCCAGTAAGTGTACCGTTCCTTTCCCAGTCTTTGTTGTGAGATATGTCTGATGTTTGAGACGTGACAGACCAAAATCACCAACCTATTAAGTTGATAACAATACAAATATTACCCAAAATTTAATTCAAGTGGAAGTCCAGAAATCTAAAAGCAAGGAGGTGAGAAAGTAGAAAAGAATTATGAGTGGACAAATAATTATAAGCAGAACTAAAGGTATACCTTCACTGTCCAGTTCTTATCAACTAGAAGATTCGAAGATTTCAAATCACGATGAACGATAGGTGGGTTGAAATGATGAAGATAATTCATGCCCCGTGCCTGCAGAAGGTTCAGCAAAAAAAATAGTGCATGATGATCAATTGTCAAAGAAATTAATCAAGCTACAAGAATACAAATTACCTATTTTCACAAAAAACATTAATAAAATCCAAAAAGCTTAATACCACACCCCATGAAAGGCATAGAGAAAACTTAAAGAACAAATAAAGAAAAAAAAAGAAGAAATGTAGACCAACACATGGTATCACCACACAAAACTTGCATATTGAATCTTTTTCTTTTCTTTTCTTTTTTTTTTTGAAATGGTGTTTTTCATATGCAAATTGGACCTTGTGATACTCACTATATCCAAAGCCATGTGAACACGCCGTCTCCAATCAAATTTGGTTGTATTCCTCTGCAGTAAGCGAAACAAGCTTCCACTGCGTAAAAATTAATACATAGCACATAGAGAAGGCAGTCAGCCGAGAAGTATAACAACTTTCTAATTATTCCAAACCGGCCAAAGTAATAAGGTAGAAATAGGGGAAAACATTATTGTTATTTACATATATACAATTATCTTTATTCAAATTGCTTGAAAATACAAGGATCTAAACAGGAAAATGAAGAATATACCGTGGAAGGAATTCGGTAACAATGCAGAGATGCTGAGGTGAAGTTACTGCACCCATAAAGAGCAGAACATTTGGATGTCGAAGTCGTTTCATGAGAGATACCTTCAAAAACAAAAAGGAACTCTGATGTCAGAAGATCTATTTCAGCTAAATAATTTTAATATAAGAAACAATTTTTGACAATAGATGTCATATAAATTAGCTTGAATAAAAATAATTTAATAAACGAAAGCAAATCCTATCTGGCTACCTTAGCAGAGGATGTTTTAAGACACTTATCATAATGCTAGTAAAAAAATTATCAAACCAAAAAGTTACATCCTCATTATCTCCCTCGAGATATGGTATACTTCATGCTGCAATTTAGGAACGCATTAAATTCAGGACAAACCAAATGACAGTCCGACAACAAGCAATTTAATGTACAATGCTTTGAACCTTGATCAGGATCAATTATATAATATGAAAACCATATATACTTAATATTATATAATATGAAAACCATATGTACTTAGTACCTCTACAGAAGTACAGTGCCATGCAAATATGTATAGCCACTGGTTGTGTGATGCTGGATTAATGAAATCAGTACAGTTCCCAACTGTTTATGCACATACACCAAGTATAAAGTGCTGTGTGCCTGAGTCTGCCTATGATCCAGGTAAATTAGAGAGCCATCTAAAAAACATGGATGACGTTCACATGTAGGTATGATCACAAAATCAATGCATAAAGTGATTAGAGAATGAAATAAATGAATAATTAGGTCAAATGCAATAAAGAAACTGCAGCTAAGGGCAATCATTATATATGAGGTTCATGTATCTACAGTAAGGCGCTCATTAAAATGTAAGTCTAGAGAAGACAAAGAAGGTTTTCAGTTGAGAAGGTTCAGCTTGGAACCTCAATTCTACTGGGAAAAAGACAAAAAAGTGAAAAGCTAATGCTTCGCGTTCACCAGCTCCTTATCATCCATATTGTTTACTCACTTCCTAATCACCATGTCTCCTTATTTGTAACTGTATGAGATTCAACTCATGTTTGGGGAGGGGAAAGGGGCATTCAGCAGAAAGAAAAACACTTCACAGTTGAAATGAGGTCAGTTAACTGGTTCAACAGAAGTCTTGAGCTAAAATTCTTCCCAATGTTCACATTTCTATAACTCATGGACAGCATCAGCATGTAATGTTTTTAACATTTTTTGAACATGGCCACCTCTTAGCGTTCAGTGTTCACTGAAGTTCATACCCATTTCCTGGGACAAGAGTGTTCATTCTCGTTTTAAATTTATGTAGGGGTGATCAAACGACAAAAAAGAAAAACAAAACTGCAACACACGGTTGGTAGCTGAATTTGTATTCAAATAAATATGCCCGTGTGTATATCATAGGAAAAAAAAAAAATGATAATAGAAGCGTCCTTGTTAAATATTATCATAGAAGCGTCCTTGTTACATAGCTTCCCCTTATCGACTTGAGAACTTAACAAAATACAGAATATTATGTACAATTAAATAGCTAATCATTTTTCAATCACAAAAAAATAATAATAATAAATCAAGAGTGAAAACACACCTCTTTTCTGAAGGAAAATATCAAATCATCTGAATATTCCTGCTTGGAGAATACTTTGACAGCAACATCCTGCAAAACATAGGAGTCATTTAGTCACAAATGAAGATTAAAACTATCCAAAACATTTTGATGGCTTTTCCCTTCTACGGTGTGGTAAGGTAAAAAAAAAAAAAAAAAAAAAAAAAAAAAAAAAACTGGAGAAATATCCCATTGTCTCACATCTCACAATGACATGACACTGATGCCTACCACACACTTTTCATGCTCATAGGAGATATGAACGACTTATACATCATGGATAATGTGAAGGCAAGATAAACCCAATTTGGCTAGATGGTACAGGAACATAAGCTCTGGGCTGCTATACCTGCTAGCAAACTGAGTCGCAATTTGTCCATATAGTGCATAATCTACAGTTAGAAGTCTTAGGTTTGGCTGCTATTGGAATTCAATTATGCGACTTCTTATCCCATAATAACTTAATCTGGACTCATCGATATTACTTCCATGCATTCTTCAGCAATAAAAATATAAAAAGGAAGAGCCAAAGAACATACTGATCCATACCACAGAGCATGATACACAGTTCCACAAGAACCTGCATATTCATTACAAATGAAAAGAAAATAAATTTAGCGATCAGAAGATACGTAGGCAAGACCATTATAGCAAAGACATAGAAAGGAATTCTACATAGCATAGACATAATAGGTAACGAAGGAACCACCAAATTTGTGGCTAATGACAGTGGACCTTTAGAATGTGCATTTAGGTTTACATGCATGTCCACCATTCCTTTGTGAAACTTTAACAATAATAAGAACAACAACAAACTATAGTAATATTGGAATAGTAGAAAAAGTAGTGTTTGTAAGAAATCAATGTATAATAATTGCGCAAGCATCAAAGATTAACTGGTGATGAAATCTAGGTAATAGTAAAGTGAATCCACTTAACAACATCTTTGAAAATCATCATATGCTTTGCCGCCATTAAAAAAAAAAAATTTAAGAAAATTAATACTGAATTATTATAACTTGTTATTTAGAAAGACAATTACCTTGCCCAATCTGTTCTCCAATGGTTAAGTCCTCCCACAAGATTTCATAGTCCAAGCAGTCGGTGTCTATGTCCACTTTATTGATAGCACTACTGCTTGTACTGCCACAGCTACTACCACTGCTTGTGCTGTTAATATTACACGAAGAAGACCAGGACCCTGAAGCCTCATTATTTGCAGGCCAATTACTCACACCCACCTGACTCTCTGGTTTTGCACCAGAATTGGAACTTTTCTGATGATCGGTGTCATTCTCTTGATCATTGTGCAACCACGGCCAGACAAAATGGGTGGCCTTCACCTCTGACCCTTCCTGTTCATTTCCCTTCCATGGCCAAGATATCCCTTTCTTACCCATCCAAGCCTCTGCCTTTGAAGTAATAATCTTGTGGATCCCAGGTTTCTCTTCACTCTCATCACCAGAATCCATTGAAGGCTTTCCCTGGGACCGCTCCTCATGCACAACTTGAGGAAACGCTCCAAAAGGAGATGGATGAAATTCTCCTCTGGGAGTACTAGCTCCACTTGAAATTGGATCCTCCTTATCCGAGAAACCATGATCATAATGATGACTATCGTCACTTCCACCTTCACGATCCATGTTGTTCTCTCGAGTCCTCATCTTTGACTTAACTTTGTTGCTAACCTTGGAAGCCTGTTTTTGCATTTATACCAATCAATATAGACTACTTTAATTAATCACAGAAACATGAAAACTATGACACTAACCAAGTTTGATATTTTTGAGGCAATTGCAACTTGGAGAGGTTGTCGAGGATCAAGACCAAGTTTAGCTGAAGCAATGTTTTTGGTTCGGGTAAAGGTCGAATCTGCCTCCGAGTGCTTTGTACCTGACAATGTAGCCTTCATTTCTTCGAAGGGATTTGAATCACGAGATACACATATAATCCCTAGCAAAGTACCAACATCATCGTAGAACGGAGTGTTGGTTATCATAGCTGGAAACCTATCTCCGCTCTTGTTCTTTACCGGGAATTGCCCAGTCCAGTGCTCCCCCATTGTCACACGATGTACTATATTATTAGCCACAGCAAGGTCTCGGGCATCTGTTAGGAGCTCAATGGAATTCTGACCAAGAGCTTCCACCACAGAATAACCATAAAGGTGTTCGGCGGCTCGATTCCTGCACAGTTGAATATGCCCCAAATTGGCAAAAATTGAAACTTCCATAACTGTCATTTCAATCTTATTTAAGAAGGCACAGCTTATTAAGTAAAATAACACTGGAAAGCTAATTAAAATTGCAATTAAAAGTTTTTAGGGTTTAATGTTCTTATCAACAAAGAATTAGAAAATAATCAAACTCAATCCAAAAAAATAATACAAATCTACAATTCCTTAGAAATTACAACGCACAATAACACTACAAAACTAATTAAAATTGCAATTTAAAATTTTAAGGGTTTATTGTTCGTAGCAACTAAGAATTAGAAGATAATCAAACTCAAACCAGAAAAGCAATACAAATCTACGATTCTAACTAGCTTTGAAATTACAAAGTACCCAATAAAACCCAACACAAACAGTCAAAGAAAGAGAGATATTAAGTAGCTCCATTAAACAAATCAAGAAAATGAGCACAAAAATTTGTCAAAATAGAAATGCAATTCAATTGTCACTCACCAGTAAATTATACGACCGTTGAGATCAAATATATGAACCGACTGACCCATAGATTGCAATATATTCAAGTACTGCTTATCATTAAACTGAGCACCAGCCGGACCACCACTGCCACCGCCAATGGTGGTGTTCTCGAAAGAGTCAGGTGTCCGACTTTCCCTCTGCAACGGCGATGCATGTCTACACGACGCCTTGGCAGCGCGGTCGAACCCTCCACCACAGCCTCCTCTCCGCCTACCCACCCGCTGTGGCGACACAGAATGAGACCTCTGGTGGTCCCCACCACCGTGTTGCTGGTCCGATTTGCGATCCCCTGAAACCATGAGCTTCGACATCTCTTGTTGGAGGTGAGCGTGCCCTGCTTCGAGGTCTTGGATCTTCTTCAGAAGCCCTTCAGCTGGTGATGGTGTGTCCATTGATGAGCAAATTGAAGCTAAACAACACAAAATTTTTGATTACCTAATCAACAAGCAGATTACTTAATCAACAAGTATCAATTGAAGAGGAAGAAGATGATGGTGACGTGGATCTGTCAACTGATTCACTCTCACTCTCTCTCTCAAACTCTTTTCTCTCTCTATACATATATGTATTTCTGAGATTGAAGACGAAGCTTGATAGGTCAAGAGGCACTCCTTTTGGCTCTCACAGCCTTTTTATCTGTTTTTTTCCCTTTCACTGGTTCAATTTCATTTGTATGGTTCGCCTTTTCTCTCTAAAAAGTCTATCATTCTCACTTTCTCTCTCTACTCCAGGCAAGTTTTGTTTTTTAGTTGCCTACTTGCCTCTCTCTCTAAATATATATATATATATATATACACATATAATGTATATCGTATATGGAGATGATAAATGCGATTAGTATTATTATTATTTTCCTTTTTTCAATTAATTAATATAAATTCCTCAAATGTTAACTTCTCACAAATTTAATTAAGGACAAGGAGGAGTGGGGTCGGGTTCTTACAATTGTTATTATTATTATTTTCAATTAAATGACATAAATTCCTCTTACTGTTGAGTGGACAAATCTTGCCTTGTGTATTATTTTTATATAATTTTTTTAAGCGTCTCTAATTATGATTCATTGTATTGGTTGATTGGTTTGTAACCGTTCAGACATATTATTACATAATTTTTTAAAATGTTTCTGCTTATGGTTCGCTATATCGGTCAATTGGTTTGTATCCATTGAAACATATTGTTACATACCCTCATAAACTGTCCGATTCGATTAGTTTACACTCAAATTCATTACATTGTGATCGATACAACAATTGTAAACCATATCTCTTTTAATCTCAAACACGTATGGAGTGAGAGGGAGAGAGTTGCGACGAGTTTTTTTCTTTTTTTTTTCCTTAGAGCACACATTTGGCATACAACATCAATTTCGCTTAAACCGCTTTTCCACTCCTTCTTAGAACAATCAGAGAAAAACGATCATCGTTCAGCAAACCCCCCTTCCAAATTTTGACGCCTTTCGGATTAGGATTTCAGTCCAATCAAAGCCCCGACAAAGATGAACTCTCAAGGCTTGGTGAGTGGGGACGTCCCTACATTCATTGGTCGAACGCAAACGTAAAGCTAACTTAATACCCAGTGGAATCTTGAAGCTATACAGTAGAAGTGGATCTCGATTCCTACATATCGGCCCCACATTATAAACTCTATCCCTGCCAACACTACTCTGCCACATAACTGAGCGGCAACAGGTTTAATTAACATTCCAAACAATAATATCATTTCAAAATATAAATTAGAGTTGATTAATCAATTCCTTGACTATCTATATTCTACTTATAGTTAGTCGACTAATTTAACTTCCTCTCGTTACGAAAGCGCGTATAAGTGACAGTTCACAGTAGCCAATCGTAGTAAGATATTTAACGTTTATGGGCCTATGTTATTGGCGCGTGCACACCACCGCACATGCCATTTTTCTTGATTCTTATATCATTTTCAGTGAAAATGGTCCAAAAACTATATATCCCCTAGACTTTCTTATGCTTCCACTCCACCTAGAGGAAAACTAGTAGTGTAGATCATAAAGGGATTTCATTACGAGTAAGGGTCAACTTCATACTTATATTGTTTGTTTTCAGAATCTCGTATGTTTATTGGACTGGACTTACAGTTTCACCTAACTAAGAAATAAAATAACCAAGTATTATTAATTTGCCGACAATGTGAATGGAGAACCCTCTCTATAAGATGGATGTATCTAGTTTAAAGCAATAGTGGAATTTAAACTTTTTAAAGTAATTTTATAATTAAATGTTACTTACGTCAATGGGGGACCTACATGTAAAATAAAAAAAAAAAGGGTCGCTATTTTTATATTAAAGCTATCCAATTCATAAAAGTTTAGAGAAATTATTGCGCCGTTCACTATTTTATATTTTTTTTTATGTAAAAATATATATGTCAATAATAACCAATCATGTATTATGACATGCACAAACTTAGTTAATATTGGTTGATTAATGAAATGAAAAAGAGAAAGCCAAAAGAAAATATGTTGATATAGCCGTGTAAAAGAAAATGTTGAACATAAAAATAAAAAAAAAATTAATAATAATATTTACACATTATACAAAAAAAAAAAAAAAAAAAAAAAAAAAGGTGTTTTACCAGTGTTAAAGATGTTCTTATATGATAGGATGAAATTATATGATCCGCCAATCACAATCCAACCCATCACAATCCAACAATTAGATTGTGATGGGTCGGAACCGTATCGGACCCATCTAAAAATTACTCTGCTTTTGGAAGATTAAATCTTAAAGTATTCAACCGTCAAAAGAGGACCACTTTTGCATGTTTCCATGCTTTATCCATAAGAAAACCTGAATAACCTGCTGATGCAGCCTGATCTTTGGCCTGAATTTAGGAAAGTAGAAGCACATCCATAAGGCTTGGTTGACTTTATTGTGTAAATAATGATTCTTTTTTCTAGGTAAATATTTACACACGTCCACAATTGCTCTCGAATCTCCTTAATTTCTTTTGGTAAGTATGAGAAGTTATACCACACTGCCTAATGACCTAAATACCTAATGGTAGTGTTTGTTGATCTGTTTTTTTTTTTTTTTTTTGGTTCCTTTTTAGAGATGTTTTTATAATGTTTTATTAGAAAGTCCTATATATATTTTATCTCTGTGAGACACAAATTTGTAATATTGGCATATTTTTAAAACTTAATGATTGACTAATAATTTTTGTTTATCTTGAGTCTCAATCTTTTAGAGCTAAAGTGCAAGTGCCTCTTACCGTTGATCCATTGAGAACATCATTTAGAACATGTAAGTCATGAGCGATAAACACTTGTTAGTACTTTTAAAGTTAGGTAAAAGAACAAATTAAAGTTGGAAATTGCATACAACAAAGTCCAACGGGTTGCATTTTTAGCTTAAGAATTGTTCTCGGGAAAAATCCAACCGGTTACATTTCAAATCGAATCGGTTGCATTTTTGCACGAAAAATAGGTCTCGGGAAAATTAGCACCGGTTGCATTTTCCTGGATGTGCGTAAAATTAGATTTTATTAACCTTTTAGTTTTCTGTTTTTACCTAAACTTATAGAAAAGTCCTTGCACGATTTTAAAAGTTATTTTCACATATTGTAAGGACTCTCTACTATAAACATAACATCTTTCATAAACTTTAATAGAGTTTCGAAGTGAGATTCAATGTTTTCATCTTTTACTCATTATTGAAACTTTTTGAGAGGTTTCTTCAAAGAAATCTGATTGTTTATTTTTTAGAGCACGCACTTAAATATGAAAGTAATTAGGGTGATGTTCTACTACTTATCAACGAGGAATTTTCAGTCTCTGCATCATATTAGAAGTTTATCAGAGCAGTAAATTTATCTTAGCCTTCAAAAAATTCTGATTTGAAGAAAGAGGAGGTTTCGATCATACTTTTAAGGGATCAAGACATTCGTAAAAGTGTTGGTTGATCTACCAGCGACCTTTCTACAGAGATCAAGAGTAAATCTAAAGTCGAGTGTTGTTAAATAGGGGAGTTGCAAAGCTAGGGACGATTAGCAATTGATTTTTGGTAGAGTGATAGGGTGTGAGCCCAATTCAGAGTCGATTGTATTTTGCTTCAAACATAGTGGATCGTTTCGCTCGGGACTGCGAAAATCCTTGAGATTTTTTCCAGACGATTGGTCTAATTTGCCAATCAAGGATTCCTCGTTCAAAACTCGATGTCATCTCTCAAATTCTACTTTACTTGTTTTTCTTTACAGTATTTATTTTTGTAGTTGTGGATGTTCAATTAATCATAATTGTGGGTAATTTAATCAATCACAAAAACTAAGCAAGTTAATCTATTCACACCCCCCCCCCTCCCTCCCTCCCTAATCATTTAGAATGTTAATCACAACTTAATCAAGTAACAGCTTTCGCACCACGCTACTCACAATCTTAATGGTAGAAAGTTACAACTCAAACACCATAACTTGGTAGGTCCATTTAGGTTTAGTACTCCAAGATGTTGTCTTATGTTTGTCTATCATTTACAAGAAGAAAACCAAGAAACAAAACAGAAAACCAAAAAAAAAAATAAACAAGTCAATTGATTGAAAGGGGAGTGTTTTTATCCTCTTTCCTTTCATTTTTTTTAGTTGGTATTTAAACGCTCATACTTTTTGTGACAACCCTGGATTTTTCAACCCAGTGTGTCCTGTGATGACCCGAAACAGGTCCAAGAATGCGGAAGCAAAACCTAAACAAGTCTTTAGAGATGTACGTCATCCCTAAGACACAAGAATGGCCCTTCAAGGAGTTTCAAGACTCAACAAAAGCAAAATGACGATAAGGGTATCAAAACTCTACCAAAAGAAGGACTATTGGTAAAATGGTCATTTTACCCTAAGAGGAAGGAATTTGAATTCTAAAAAGTCAAATGAGATCAAAAACATCCAAAAACATCATTTGATAACTTCACATGAAGTCCCAAAGCCAAAGGAAGAGAAATCCCAAATAAACCTTATCCCAGTTTGAACCAAAACTGACACCCTCTCACTAAAATAAGAATATCTCGAGTTAGGAGAAGAATCTGAGACTAAAATTTATACCATTGGAAATCTTACTTCAACGCGGTCAATTTAGACTCAAAAACGGACCAATTCAGAGTTGAAACGAAGAAGTTACGACAGTTCAAAGTTGGAAAACTAAAGCTGAACCTGCAAAAAGTTTCTGGAGAACTTGAACCTGTTCAGCCCCCCTTGAACCGGTTCAACATGGATAGAACGTCCATGCTAGACCAAAATCACATCTTGAACCGGTTCAACTCAGGCAGAATTGAACCCAAACAGCAGAAACAGTGAAATTGTAGAAAAATGAGTTTAGAACGCGATTTTCGAGACCAAGATGACATTTTTTGAAAAAATGTCTTGAAGAAACTCTCCTGAAATCACATTTTCTATGTGACAGAGTCGAGACTGGAACTTATTTCCCAAAGGAAATCCCCAAAATGCCTTTAAGCCGAAATTTGCAAGAAAAATGTAAAATGAGTCCATATGAGGCTCATTTCACCAACGAAAGAGTTTTTCATGAAAACGATCATGCACGCAAACGTAAATAGTGATTTTAAGCGCACGGGAATGATTCGTGGCTCCCAGAAATGGCCGAGTCAAAATCCGACCCCCCAAAGGCTAAAAAGGCAAAAATGAACTTAAAATGGGAAAAATGAAAACCAAAATTATGAAATGGGTTCAAATAACCATTTGGCCTTTGGCCATACT